CTTGAAAAATATCAAAACTAGGTAAGGTTGTCGGATGAGCTAGTGTTACCTTCTGTTACTAAGAGGAGTGGGGCAGATGAAATAGTTTTAACTTCTGGTGATATAATTCTGCTAATCAGGATTAAGGCCCAGTCATAATCTGACCTGGAGAGATATAAAGCCAAATTGTGCTCTTGGTTACCCCCGTGTAATTCCATTAACTTCACTGTAATTACTCCAGAGTTACACTGGGGTAACTGACAGCCCATACTGAGCCTCTGACGGTCCAGATCATCCGGTCATAGCCTACAGATCCCCCCTCTTGGGTGGATAATGAAAGCAATGAGTTGACATGGGGGCATATGAGTTAAGTATTCAAAAGCTAGTTAGGTGTCGTGTGAATTTATGAGTGTCTGAGCAGTGATTTAAAAACTGTTAAATGTGCTGGATCCAAGTGAAAAAGTTACTAGTGTTAAAAGGCGAAGCCCGTATAATGGTCAAGCTTTCCCCCCAACTCCCCCAACAGAACATTTTTTCTGTTGTTGTTGTTTGGTGTGGCACTTATTTTGGGTCACTTCTTTACTGGCAACCCAGGGCTTTTAAGGACTGTGTCCCATATCTGGGTCTTAGCAGATTGGCCTGCATGGGCCTCTGTGACTTTAAAGCATCTTTAGCACATATGTTCCACATCAAAGGGGAGGGATGCCAAAGACTCATCTGCTAATGACAGTGAAAGAGAAAGACTTTGCTTTTGAGCCACATTTTTACACTTGGGCATCTATACTTCAGCTGCAGAGGTCAAAGCCAGACCAGACGCTGACTGCCTCAATAGTGCAAGATTTTTAGCTCAGAGGTTTTTGTTCAAACCCCTTTCTAGTTTTAGGAAATCCAAATTAGGCTCGTAAATGAAAAAACTGAAACCTCCCTCTTATGCACCCACATTTGAAATATGGGCTCAGACTGCCAGTGAAATCTTGCCATCACTTTCCGAATAGCCCTACGCAACATGCACATTTCTGCCCATTGAACTTAGGGTGACCAGATAGCAAATGTGAAAAATCGGGACAGGGGTGCGGGTCATAGGCATCTATATAAGAAAAACGCTGAATATCGAGACTGTCCCTATAAAATCGGGACATCTGGTCACCCTAATTGAACTTCCCCCTGCAGTTTCAACTGGATACGGGATTCTTCATTCCCCATATAGAAAAAAGAAATTTCCAGAATGAATCAGACCAGCGGTCCATCTCCTGTATCTGACAGTGGCCAAGACCAGCTGCTTCAGAAGAAGGCACAAAAAATTGGAGAAGAAAGTGATGGAATGACCTGCCCACAAGGGAAGTCTCGTCCTAACTCTCAACGCTTGGCTTATGTCCTGAACCACAGGAGTATATGTTTATAAGATGTTCTGTAGGGCTGCTAATCAGCTACTATCTTTCACCCCAGCAATGGCTGCATTTCAGTGGTGGGTTAAAGTAACTCGTGTGAAGTGCTTTGGAGGGTAAGGACTGCCCTAAAAATACCAGACATGGCAGGGAAAGAGAGTGTGCAGCAAAAGGAAAGGAATAGAAAATATAAAAAAGGCCATTTGGTCTGTCAAGATGTGTGCGGTGTCTGCAGTCAAATCCTTCCTGAATAATGTTTGTGATTTTAATTTGTAAAACCAATTTAAAAAGATTTGTTATTTCCTAGAATGTGATATAAATACCATCTATTAAGCAAGACACCAGTAAAGAGAGGCCTCGTGCAAAGTTACGTGTGCTGCAGCCGATGACTTCAGTGGGAGTTGGATCGGGCTCAGTGATGATGCATGAAAAGGAGAGAAATTTAGCAAAGAAATTCTTGTTTTCATGGCCACATGATGCACACAAAAGAGTCGTGAGGCCAAACGCCTGTGCAACTCTTCAAGGAACAGGGGTAAATGTGCAAACTGAAGCAGGAACTGGCTGCATGCAGCATGGATCATATACTTTAACAGGGCCTGATCCTGCACACCAGGTAGGGAGGAAGAAGGGGAAATGGGGGAAAGGAGGTGCACCTGGGAAAAGGAATGAGGACAAATGAGGAGGAGGCACTGCTGGAGCCAGGAGGTGGAGAGATGAAATGGGGAAGAATGCAGGCGGTCCTACAGAGAAGAGATGAAGTGGAAGGGGGTGAAGGGAGCTGGGTAGCCCCTCCCCCCCCCACCAGTTGCAGCTGGGGTAAGAGCCACTGTAATGCAACTGGTGGATACAGCCTAAAGCCTGCTGAGTTGTACAAACTGCAGAGACGCTGGCCCCTGAAGTGCGAAAAGAGGGGGATGGAGATCTGTGGGAGCCTCAGACTCGTTATTTCTATGTTCAACTGCCTTAATTGCTACATGTCAGCTGCCTGTTAGAAGGAACTATGTAACTGTGGCCTCCGGACTGGGAATTCACAGTGATTAATGGTCCTGCAGGGACTGACCAACCAGGAAATGTTAGAAGTAGAAGAAGTATATGAAAGATACAAGCACCATGCAGGAAGAGGAATCCTTTAGGATGGCCCAAGAGCCCTACAGTCACCAGGAGTGTACACTGAGCAAGGGAAATGTAGGTTAGATATCAGGGGAAATTATTGAATGAGGAGATCTATGAGCCAGAGCAGCAGTTCTCAAACTGTGGGTCAGGACCCCAAGTCGGTCGCGACCCAATTTTAATGGGGTCACCAGGGCCAGCATTAGCTTTGCTGAGACCAACAGCTGCAGCCGAAGCCTGAGCGCCATCCCCACCCGGGGCAATGGGGCTCAGGCTGAAGCCCCCACTCCCCCCACCTGGGGCAGCAGGGCTTGACCTGTGACCCCCTTTCCCCCTGACTTGGAGAGGCAGGGCTCGGGCTCGGGCTCTGACACCCCGCCCCAGGGTCATGTAGTAACTTTATTGTCAGAAGGGGGGTCGCAGAGCAATGAAGTTTGAGATCCCCTGAGCCAGAGCAATAATTTCCCAGCACTTGAGACCCATCATCTGACCCATTTAAAACAAGACTGAGACCAAGAATGGAGAACAAGGTGTATGGGACAAATGAGGCTGACATGACAATGGACTTTACCAGGGTGGTTCCGATCTCACATCAGTGTAATTTTGTTACCTTCTGTGGAGCTACTCCTGCTTTACACCAGTGTAATAAAGACCAGAATTAGGCTCTGGGGCCCAGATTTGTAAAGGTATTTAGGCATTGCTCCACTCAGCATTACAAGGCCCAGGTGACTTAAATGGCTAAGTGCCTAAGTCACTTCTGAAAATGGGAATCTGCCATTTAAGTCACACAGACCTTTAAAAGAATCTGGGCCTAGGTCTCTTCCACCTCTAATTTCTATGGGCCAAATTATGAATCCCTTCCTTACGGGAGAGCAGTATCCCCATGAGTCATTGCAGAGGCTAAGATTGAGCAATAGGTTCACAGACTAGCCCGATTCCAAGCTTTTCCAAGGCTACACTGAGTGTCCAGCACTCAGACCTCTCCTGGACTGGCACTCTATAAAGCAAAAATATGAACCCTGTTTTTCAAAGAACACAGCACAGACACACAGGTAGACAATTGCTCAAGCATAAGGTTTTAAATAAACCTATTTCTTAGATAAGAACATCACATGACTGCACAACAGAACATGCACGTTTTCATACAAACTCCCAGTGGGACAAGAATATCTGCGTTTTAAAAGAGAAGCAGCAGTGAAGGTATAGGTATAATTGTAAATTCAGGGTCTAACACGGCTTTAAAACACTGGAGATCAGACTCGACAATATATTGTGCAGCCCAAGTAAGTTCAATATTAGTAACTTCATTTCGTTCAGTTCTGACACACAAGCTTTTAGGCTAAGATGTTCAAAATCCTACTGGAATTGAATGAGAGTTGGGCACTTAACTCCACTAAACATCTTTGAAAATCCCATCCTTTAATCTTAAATGTAAACGTCACACCCTACTAATGACACACGTTAAACTTTATGCAGATAAAGAATGTTACTGTTAGGTCCTGCCCTAGGAAACATCACACACTTCACCACCATGTTATGAATTAAGCAGAACAGCAGCTATGCAACGTATTATTATTACTATCTATATAGCATCTTACATAGATGTGTAAGATGCTCTGCAGATTCCCCACCCCAAAGAGTTTACAATCTATGGACATGATGCTGCAGACGCTCACTACCAAGTATGATGCATATTCCCAAAAGTACAGTATCCCACTCACTTCACTGACTACTCGTGCAAGATGCGCTGACCTGACCCTGTAAAACATCCCTCTTTGGGATGGGCACTTAAGCACACGCTTAACTTTCAGCATGTGTGTAAGTCCCATTGAAGTGAATGGGACTTAAGCATGGGCTTAAAGTTTACACCATGTACTTAAAGGTTTTCCTGAATTGAGGCCCATGCCAAGTAAGGTTTTCAGAATTTGTTCCTAGAGTAAAGACAAGAACAAGAACAGGAGACATCATTAGGGAGAGGGGTTGGGGTTGCAGAAGAGGAAGCTAAGGACAATAAAATCATGAAGGCACTTGGGTGAGTCTTCAGGGTTACAGTTTTGGGTTATTTTCCGCAATGTTAGTATATGAAGACTATAGTTTATAGCCCTGCTTGAATGACCTACAGTGGACGTGCTTAAAAAGTCTCACTGGTTTGAAAGAGTCTACCGGTTCTAGAGAGCGGCCCTGTTATTAAGATGGGGAATTCCTTTCGAATCAGTAGAATCTTTCAAACAGGTGGATGTTCTTAAGAGTGACCACTTTCCCATTTTCTTGATTTAAAATCTCATTGAAATCATCTATCAATTTTATCACCACAATCAACAGAGATGGGGCCCAAATTTGAACACTCACTGAACATCTGACGAAGTGGGTATTCACCCACGAAAGCTCATGCTCCAATATGTCTGTTAGTCTATAAGGTGCCACAGGACTCTTTGCTGCTTTTACTGAACACCTGGACAGTGTTCAAAATCCAGATGTAGCCCTTCATCCAAATATTGCTATCGTTACAATGAGTGGAGCCAGAATTCCAATCCAGATAGTCTCAGGCTTTGGGTTTAGAAATCCAGAACGACATCAGTCTCTGAGTTCTGAAGCTTGAGCTCATCTCTAAGTATCAGAGCCAAAGCCCTGACTCTTCATGGCCATTTAGTTTTATTTCAAACCCAGCAGCTTTATTAACATTTCACTCAGGTATAAGATTCAGTTGTTTCTGGTTTTGCTTCCTCTTTTTTAGAGTATGGAGAGTTATTAACATGCTGTAGTAATTAGGACATCACCAACATTCAGTCTGAGAGAAATTTGACATTGGGTGAAAAACAGAACTCGTGAGAATGGTCTAGTAAGTATTTGTTACAACTCTTTTAAATACTGCAGCACCGGCTGCAATGGCATGTTTTCTCCACAACGGAAGTTTCGGAAAGCTTGATCAATTTTCAGAGGACTCAGGGATAGATCATAGATGAGGTTGTAGTTGTGGATTAGACGCTTTGCTTTTTCCTTTTCCAGCATGCCTACATTTAAAAAAAAAAAGACTTAAAAAAAAACTGGTTCATTTTTCTACAGATTATCAACTCATTTCCTTTGGCAAAATCAAACCCTTTGATGACTCTTGTTTCTTATTAGAATATGGTTCCCAAATATCATAAAGGTTATATATTCCCCATTTATAAGAGGGTCAAAGAGGCATGAAAGAAGCCATCATAGTAAATTGTTACTTAGCATGTACTCAAAGCATGTACCTCATTTTGCCAAAAAGGCAAAGTCCAGCAAACCAAAGAGGACTTTGGTGATGGGAGCCAGGTGAGTATCCTGTACAGGGAAGGAGCCTAAATGTTAGCACGTTTGATTCAAGCTCATCTTTGAGCACTGTGGAGTGTGATTCATATGAAGGGTGGAAAGTTACAGAAAGGTCTCATAGCAGACCAAGATTATATGTTTAGCAAAAGACTTGGTGAAACAGAGAGATCTATGGAGAGTCACAATATACTCCCTGGATAGGAAATTATTGAACATTCAGAGCCAGGGAATAACCAACAAACCAACCACTGCAGACTGGTCACCAAAAGGGAACAGTTGAGTCCTCTCCTTTCCCTGCCCTGCCTAACTGTGCCAGTGAAATTCTTTCTTGACTGGATGTGTGTTTGTGTGACCAAAGGCGAAAGAGAGGTATGTTGTTATGTACAGTCTCTATTATGGTACAGTCGTTGCCTGGCAAATATCTGTGCATTAATCCGAGGACACCAAGGCATCAGGTATTTAACAGCTTGGAGACTGGCCAGTCCTTAAACATTAAGGTGCAGCCAGGAGCAGAGGCTGTGTTAGGAGGAGGCAGGCCATTTGGGCACTAGGCAGTGTGGATGGGATGGGATCTTTTACTGGTGCAAAACCCCTCTTGCCTGCTGGCAACAATCCTTGTCCTCAGCCTGCCCAATTCAGCCCTCCCTCAGGCTGGGAACGAGCCAAGGAGCTAAGGGGATCTATCAGGATGTCTGGCTGGTGGCAGGAAGGAACCGCAATGGAGATGACAGCAGATAGCTTGTAAAGCCAAAGGAGCCCATATGTGCACCCAAGAGCAGAGTATGACCCACCCGACTTTCAGACCCTTCCTTCTGGCTTCAATAGTAATTAATATTTTTTCTTTTGAGATGTATTTATTCACAGGCATTCCTATGGCACTCCTTGGCAGAATATTCAAGAGCACCCCACACCCCTCTGACATTGGGCAGTATTATTAGCTCTATTGTACATATAAGGAAAATAAGTCACAGAGACTTTAAGTGACTTGTCCAGTATCAAGCAAGTAGTTCATAGTGGAGCTGGGAATAGAACCCAAACTGACATCCATCTGACCTCGAGTGTTTTAGAAAGCAAATTACTTTCAAATAATAGCTCTGATCCCTTACTCAGGTGGGTGGTCCATTGAGTAAAGCCTACAGGCTGTCTTTTAAAACATTACCTGTGTTTTTTATATCACACAAATAAAGAGCTCTCTCTAGTTTTCTGAACCGGTCTATCCAGGCCTCCTGCTCTTCAGAGTCACTGGAGTCAGTCGGACTGAAGAAAGACTGGATCGCTGGTCTTTCTTTTCCTTCAGTGGCGGGATAGTTTCGAGCCCAAGTCTTGGAAGCAAGAATTTCATGCTCTTTGGTGTTTTCCTGCAAAGGAAAGGAGTGAACAGTGTAAATCAAAGACTAACCACTAATAGTTTTCTACAGAGGGAAGATAGAGTTGATCCTAGGGAGAGGCGAATGGAGGTAGAACAAATCTCCCTAGGCTGGTGTGATTCCACCACAAGGCATTGCCCAACACAGCACACCCCTCCTGCTCAGTCTGACCATCCTTACTTGGAAGGAAAAACGTAACAAGGCCCAGCGTTGGCCAGAACTCACTTAATGGGTTTTCTGATAACCAGCTTCCTCACTTCACTGGGACAGTTGCCAGGCTAGGTTTACAGTGCATTGCATTTCAGTGACTGGCTACATCGCAAAGTTGGCACAACAGGTTATTTTCAGGCCTACTCACCATAGTTTAGAGGTGGGACCTGAAGACAGCCAGCATACATTTGCTAACTCAGATCCCTTCCCTGATTTCCTGCCTATTCCCTGGCTACTGAACAAATTAGTCACATTCAGTTTTTTCTTTGACCATCCCCTCTCTGTTTTAACAGTTCATACTACGGCTATTTTTAAAGTTATCTGTGAAGTTCCTCTCTTTCCCTTCTGCAAGTATTCCTCTCAATGGCAGAGTCTCATGATGAATGGCTAATTAGCATCCTGTTCCACTAGGGGTGCCATAAAAGCAATTTGTTATGCCAGGGAGGTCCCCACCCACAATAATCTATGGTATGGTGTCAAGCAAAAGAATGAGGCCTATTGAGAAACTGGTAGCACTGTATGGGATCTAAAGCGGTGGTTTCCTCCACACAATAATTCTTTTCAGTCAATGGCGAGTGCAAAGAAAATTAAGTCCCTGCTGTTCAGTCACAAGTCACTACTAAGAAATTTAAATGGAAACGTAAGATTAAAACTATTAGCGACAACAGAATCCTTTTGTGTTTAAGGCAGCTATGAACACCACAGTCGTGGGCTTGGTCTAGAATGTTGTCTACCTCCGGAAATAGCCCCAACTTAGCCATTGCTGAAGCTGCACTTGTGCTGACCCCCACATGTAGACTAGGGCAAGCATTGGATTCACTAACTGAGGTCGATTTCTGCCCAGTCAGTACCCGTTGTCTATGCTTCCGGGGTATGCACTGAACTGACTGCTGACCACCAAAGGCCAAGTCAGGGCAATTTCCAAGTCTGGATAGCCTTAAGACACCCTTGCCAGCTGGTGGAGGCTTCAGCAGAAACACAGCCCAGCAAGTGTTTACCCTCAAGGAATAATGGGCCAAAACTTTCAAACCTGGGAGTGTAAAGTTAGGCTCCTAAATCCACAGTGAAGTTCTTAAATATGGATTATTATGGAGCCCAGATCCTTAATGTTACTTAAGTGCCTAAATCCCATTGAAATCACATTGACGACCAAATATTAAATCACAAGGAAATTAAAAACAAAGCAACAACAAAAAAATCCCCTAGCCTGGGATGAAACCCAGTGATTCTGGAGCTCTCCCTTCCCACAGGCATTCTCCTTTCTGTCAACTGATAGTCACGACGGGATGGGTTGAGGAAGCTGAGCTGTGGTTACCCCATTGCTTACCAAGGAGCAGGTATTTTTTCATAGATTCATCAATTCCAAGACCAGCAGGGACCACTCTGATAATCTAGTCTGACCTGCTGTATAACACAGGCCAGGGAACTTCCCCAAAATAATTCCTAGAGCAGATCTTTTAGTAAAACATCCAATCTTGATTTAACAATTGTCAGTGATGGAGAATCCACCATGACCCTTGGTAAGTTGTTAATTACCCGCACTGTTAACAATGTAGGCTTTCTTTCCACTCTGAATTTGTCTAGCTTTGGCTACCAGCTGTTATACCATGTAGCGTCACTGCACATTTCCACAACCTCATTTGCAGTAGTAGTCAGAAGACAGCTCTCAAGCCAAGACTGAGGGGATTTTGTCATTATTTCCTTTCACATGGGCGGCCAATATTGATATTATTTTCTGAAGTGTTTTACAGCAGGAAGCAAGTGTAGCGAGAGGCTGGGTCACTTTTAATAATAATAATAAATACAGACGCTCCCCGACTTATGCAAGCGTTCCGAACACAAAGGAAAGACTGGGCATGTCCTTTCTCGTTAAGTCATAGGGCCCCAGTTCACTAACTTGTGCAACTTTAAGCATAAAAGTCATTCCACTGAAACCAATGGGAGTACTCATATGCTAAAGTTACACATGCACTTTGGTGCTTTGCTGGGCTGAGTTTTAGGCATTGAGGCCAGGAAAAACCACTAGTGACTTCAGTAGGCACCGGGTCTGGCCCATGCTGTTGACTGGATATTAATATTTGGTTTATTAATTAAGAAAAAACAAGTTACAGACTTGCCTTCTCCATTGTAGAGACCGTTATATAAAAGATCATCTGTAACATACCAACCAAAGATACTTATCAGCTATTTGGCTATATCCGTTCTATTGAGCATACCAGACGGGCAGCCACATCATCGCCGATTTCCTCTTTGAATCCCCCTAAAATGGAAACATTCGTAAGAATTTCTTGCATCTAGGTGCTCCATAAAAATAATCACAACAATGGGTTTTGGCAACTACGAGCCCAATGCAATGCTCGTTGAAGTCAATGGAAATAACTTCACTTGAGCACTGGATCAGGGCCTGAATAAACATGAAGGACTATGTCACCAGTGCTTAGTGCAATACACACTTTCAAGTACATTTTTAAAATATGAGCAAATGCTTGGGTTCAAATGCCCATCTGGCCTGGCTGTTATTGATGATCTCGATACTCAATTTGCCCACCACTGCGCAGGGAATGAAGGTGCTACTTTTAGTTTTTCAATCACTCTAGTAAGTTTAACTTCTCTCATAGGCAAAAGCTGCCCCCACCATTGAGAACCAGTACTTTGCTGCTGCGCAAGTGAGGTGGTTGTGTACCACCTTCGTAAATTCAATGAGTATCTCTGGAGGGGATCCCTGTGTGGGCAAGGACTTTGAAGGATTCTCCAATAATGGGGATGGAGCAGTCTCCACAGAGCAGCTCTGCTACTGCTTTGCACCCTCAGTGTATGGTGAGAAATCCCTCCCTCTATTCAAGTGGGTCACACAGGAATCCAGCCCAGCTGCAACCAATCACAGCAGAAACACAACTTGTCAATTGTATGGTATCTTTCATGCAAAGCAACCACAAAATGCTTTGCAGGCAGTTACATTCCAATCGATGTAAAGTAGGTAGGTCACAGCTCAAGCCGAGTGAATTTCAACAAGGAAGCAGTCAGAATTGTGTTGATGTTTTGTAGTAAGTGCAGCTGGTCAAAATTTTTCACACAAAAATATTCCTATCTGGAAACCTGGCTTCATCAACATTTTGAGTGAGAACACAGCAACGTGGACAACATTTTTTGCAATTTTCTAATCATGAGAATTAAAACAAAATATGTTGCCATGTTTAAAGGCCCACCAATTTTCATTTTGAGATTTCTGATATGGAATATTTTGCCACGTTTCATCCAGTGAAGTTTTCCAATATTTCCACTTTCTGGGCCGATTCAGAATGGAACCTAACTTTGGAATGTCAACGTTTCCTGTCGGAGAAACATTCCATTTCCTAGCCAGCCCTAACAGAACGATGGTTGGGAGACCCATTTGAAGGAAATTATGACAGAACTAGGAGTTTATGCAAGGTTGCTTTGGGCAGAAATGGAGAGGAGGGCACAAAGATATGGGCCAAAACAGATCTGTGTTGCCTGGATTCTGTAGAAACAGTGTGTTAATAAAGCACCCACAGAGGTTGCCATTAATGAAATAGCAGCATTTGCCAAAAACTATTACCCAGTGATATCTAAGAGACGGCCACCATTTCCTGTTCTAAATACAGGGAATTAACTGAGGCATGTCAGTTACCATTGTGTCATCGCTGTTGGCTAACAATGACCTTTTAATGGAAACACCTGTACATAATTTTCTACAGTTCTGCATCTGTTTCCATGGAAATGGAACCAGGCACAGCAGCTGAGTCTGAAGATTTCGATTATGCAGATTTCAGCTGTGGCTACCAGCTGGGCTCTGTGAGTACCATTTTCCAAACAGCACCTGCCACACTTTAGGGTCCCATATGCTCCTAAAGTCTCCAGAGCCAGATTCTGCTACCAGTTACACATATATAAATCCATACTGACTCCACCTAACACCATAGAATCACTCTGGATTTACATTGGTGTAACTGAGTGTAGGATCAGGCGTTTAGGTGTTGGAGGGGGTGGAGAAGGATAGAGTTTTAATGTTAATTTAAAAAAAAAATCATAAAGAATCATAAAAAATCTTTCCCCTACTTTTACCAAATATGTGCCCTTCTCTGTGGGGTGAACAGGCTCAAACCCTCATCTTGTTACACAGTTTTCCCAGGTGCACGGCATACAAGGGTAGTCGATTGTCTCATAACCCTCATCTATCTCAATACTTTGCATTGGTGAATTCTGTGCCTCGATTCATTGCCTTTGCTATAGTTTTATGGGAACTTTTTTTAAAATTCAAGATTTTAGACAGACATACAATGCAGCCAAGAGTGGTGTTAAAACTCCTCTTTCTCCCCCTCTCTTTAAGGGAAAATCTGGCCTTTGTAGGTATCCTTTCCACTCCCACTGGGTCAAATTCTGTGATGACCCCATGCAATTCCAGTGATAGACACACACCTCAGGGCAGAATTTGGCTCAGCTTCTCGAATCCCGTTCATTACCATGGCATCTGGGTACCTATCACTAGATTGTTACGAGTGGTGTTTATTCCCAGTTTCTAATCTCTGTTACCATCTTTTATTTTCCTGCTGTATGTGTCCTATCCAGCATGTGTAAAATGTGCAAGGGTTTGAGAGGCCAGTTTTTTCCCCAGTTTTAGTTCACATGTGTTCACGTTCCAGAGCTGGCCAGCTACAAAGGACTGCACATACCGCACCCCATCAAGGGATTATTTGGCAAGCATGGTCTCTCCTCTCTGTCCCCCACACCTACGCACTCCAGTAAGCTTTCCTCTATGCAAGGGGATCAATGCCTAGCCGGCCCAACCCGTCCCTGTGTTTTCACAATTACTCTGTTACAGCTTAAAATTCAAGCCCTTGTACATGATTCTCTGGCTAAGTACTGTAAATCAATTCTCTTCCAATACCTGCTTAATATCCATCTATTTGGAGATTACACTGATTTATGCACCGCAAGATGGATTGCAGCATAAAATTTCAATGGTAGGAAAGATGAATTATCACCATGAATGAAGGGTGTTTATAGTTCAACAGACAGCTGGTTTGTCTCCAACCAGATGGTCATAGGTTCATGTCCAAACTTAGAATCCTGAATATGCTTCTATGCTATGATTATGATTGGAGGAACACAGGGTATGGCCATCATGTGAATATTAAAAACCCCATAACACTTTCTAAGGATTATTAGATTAGTGTAGCGTCCCTATCAATAGCTCACAATCCAGCCTTCATTTCAGCTTTGAAAAACCAGAAGCAGGAAGAAGTAGCCCTCAAAAACCAGCTGCCTCTATATAAGCAAACACATTCATTATTAAAGCTGGGCCCGAATCCAAATGATGGATCCAACCTCACCCATCAGGGTCCTTGAGGACATTCAAAATGTGGAGCTGGATCCAAATTTTGCAAATAGTCATTAGCTGAACCAAACCCCTCCTTACAAACACCCCAGATATTTTGGGGTTTTAAAATCTGGATTGGAATATACATTTTGTGGTTTGAGACAATCTTCACTAATTATTCAACTAGACTTTATATTATTTGTTTATATTATATTATTAATAATTATATATTATATATTATTCAAGTCTTTTAAAATGAATAATTTTTGTTTCACACTACAGTTTGGAAATAGCTTTTCCAAACAGGACAAACTATAAAGAGGTATTAACATATCCTGGAAAATTTTGTAAACTAGGCATTCCACCTTTTTTTTTTTAATTTCTGTCTTCATCCCAGTTTTTCTCTTTGAAAGAATCTGAAATTTCAAAGCAAAACTTACCTGAAACAATCATGATTTTCGCACAAAACCATTGTCCTGAAATATAGCTCAGGTTCACCTGATATATTGGTTCTCCAAAAAGATTTGTGACTACAGCCAATCAAAAATTCAGTAGAACCAAAAGGAATTGATGAGTTTGAAGGAAATCTACCTGTTGTTGTTTTTCAATCAAGTTAGGGAAGTAGGAGACCATATTAGGACAAATGAAAGAGAAAAAGCAAACTAGAGTAATTATCAGGGCCAAGTGAATTTTTATAAACTACTGTGATTATCTATGCACATAAATGCTCTGGTGATTATCTATGTGCATAAAACATGTGCCTCTCAGGAATGCACAGTCCAGCTACTGACAGCCAAGAATGTGCTAATTAACTATCTGAAATAAGCTCTGGACAGGAAGATCAAAATGCAGAAGTTAGTCAGTGTGTGCAGAAGAATCTAAAGGAGTCTAAGCTGCTGTGATTTACAGTTGCTTCTAGCCCCCTCAGTGTGCAAGTTACTTGGACTTGCACTCACAGATTCCCTCCGAATGAAGCCCATTACCCAGGTGTAACTTACACCTATTTACACAACTCCTTAGAATTTGTTCCTGGAATCTTAGTGAGTCTAAACTAGTTTGACTCACCTACCAAGAGCCTAGAAGGGAGAATTGGTAGGAGCAAAAGCAACTAACAGGAAAGTGTAAGTAGCTACAAATATAAAAGGTTGGGCTATTGTAATTTGTGCCATTTGCACTGCTCTCTGCTATCTCTTAGCGTGTAAATTATGCCTAATTAGACTCCCATGTACTCATCTCCTAATCTGGCTCACTTAGGCCAAATTCTGGATTTACATGCCTGTGAGTCACTACTATGAATTTCAATGAGAGCCCCATCAATGCATCCAAGTCTAGAATTTGGCCTATAGCAGGGGTAGGCAACCTATGGCATGCGTGCCAAAGGTGGCACGTGAGCTGATTTTCAGTGGCACTCACAGTGCCTGGGTCCTGGCCACTGGTCCGGAGGGCTCTGCATTTAAATTCAATTTTATATGAAGCTTCTTAAACATTTTAAAAACCGTATTTACTTTACAATAGTTTAGTTATATATTATAGACTTATAGAAAGAGAGCTTCTAAAAACGTTAAAATGTATTACTGGCACACGAAACCTTAAATTAGAGTGAATAAATGAAGACTCGGCACTCCACTTCTGAAAGGTTGCCGATCCCTGGCCTATAGCATATAAGTGGAGCTTGGAAGGGAAATCTGCAATACGGCTGCGCTTTGCTAGCATTTTGTAGGCTATTAAATGAGCAACAGACACAGGCAAAATACACATGTTCTGAGCAGGGCCGGCTCCAGGGTTTTGGCCGCCCCAAGCAGCCAAAAAAAAAAAAAAAAAGCCGGAGTGAGGGACCGTCCGCCGAATTGCCGCCGAATAGCTGGACGTGCCTCCCCTCTCCGGCGTGGCCGCCCCAAGCACCTGCTTGACAAGCTGGTGCCTGGAGCCGGCCCCGGTTCTGAGTGAGGCTGATTACACTGTGGGATCAAGGAGACTGTTAAAAAAGTACCACTCCTCAGTAAACACAGGAAAAGATTCTTGAAAATGAATCCCCGATGGTACCCAGACAGCGTAGGTAACTGGAACAAGAGAAACATGTTGAAGATTTCCAAACATGGGCTAGAATATAGGGTGAGCAGACTCCCTGTACAGATGCGCAAGCCAAATGGAATCTACCTGAACAACAGATCCTTAATTAGTGGCTAGATTGTCCCTGAAACACTGCATTTATTTCGCCATTGTAACTCTGGGTCTTGTTTTCAGAGGGGCCAAGCACCAACAGCTCCCAGTGACGTTGATGGGCTTGCTCAGCACCTCTGCATGGAAAGGGCCTGATTCTGCATTGACCTGCACCATGTGTTGTTGTTTGCACCAATGCAAAGTGAATGTAAAATAGTCTCATGATTTGGTAGCAGGTGACACCCACTTGGCACTGGTGTAAATGCCTACATAAGGTGTCAGGCAGTGGAGCAACAGGCCCCATGTCTTCTTTGAAGCCAGGATAATTACTTTCTGAGCATAATGGAGCCAGATCCTCAGCTGGTTTAAATTAGGATAGCTCCCTTATGGATACTCGAGTGACATCAATTATCCCAGCTTCAGATCTGGCCTATACGCTGCACTATTTCTTCATTTTCTCTAAGTTGAAAATTCTGCAGCAGCAGCTGGAAAACCTGCAAAAAAGAGAGGTTACATGCAACCAAATAGGTGCATGCTACCTGCTAGGGAGAGAGAGAGAGGAATAGCTTTTGAATATCAAACTAGTGAAATTCCTGTACTGACAGCATGGATCCAGGAGTGCACAATTATTATGCACAATTTCCCTTTGGAGAATATACATTGTACTGCTCTTTAAAGTGAAGAGAAACATTTACTGAACTTGCTTTGGTGGTGGTTGGTTGTGGGTTTTTTTCTTTGTTGTTGTTCCAGACTTGTGAGACCTTTTCATTTCTTAAATACAAGGCCAATGCTCAGCATGGCACTTTGACATGGTGGTATTATCAACAGCAGGACACTTGTTGGAAAAAAGCTCACTATGTAGGATGAAGATATTTCAGGGATCTTTGGTCTTGGAAAAAGTAGTGTTTTCACGGTGCTTGTTACATCTCCCGGGTGTGATTTAAAGTGGCAGTCACTTCACTTACCCACAGGAACAGGCAAATTAGGAATCGCATCAGAATGAGCTTTCTTGAGCAACTCCACAAACTTCTTCCACCTGCATGCGCAAACATTTTTAAATGAAATATAATATTTGAAAACAAACCCCAAACAGTCTGACTTCCAAGAGCTATGTAATGGAGGTCAGAGACATCATTAAAAATAAACAATAAATTTACGAAAAGGTTTTTTGAAATAAAGAAAGGAATGACATTATAAATATGCAGCAGAGCATACCACAATCACCAGCATGAAGCTTAGCTTGTGCACATAAATGCAATACATCACATGATGCACTGTCTACACATTCGGGACAACATTTTCCAAAGGGTAGACTCTCTATTTGCCAGGGCACTTTGCAGCTCTAGGATTTTTTAAAATACTATCTATCTACAACTGAAGCAAAGGATGGACACAAACTTGGTTTTATGGGCCACATCCTCAGTGCAGAGAGGTGAAGTCAACAGAGCTATGCCAATTTCCACCAGTTGAGTTAATCTGCGGCGGCTTTTTGGTGGTGCTACAAAAGCTTTATCTCCCCAATCCTGTAACTTCCAGAAACTGAACTGATCACCTCACTTCTCCAGGAAAAATAAATTAAAGAAGAGAGGTAGAAAAATCTGCATAGAAATATCAGGCATTCCTCCTCCTAGCCCCCATTTTTCTTGTTGACAAGTTACAGAGAGGACATAACTTGTTCTGCTTTGTTCGACAAGGCTAATCTCACGTGACTGTAATCACTCATGGTGTTTTATTGATTTTAAGCACATTTAATCAGAAAGTGGCTCAGAGCTAGATTCCTGCTAATTACTTGAGAAACAGCCTCCCGAATGGCTTCACAATTGGACTGCAGCTTAGAATGGACAGTATATACTAAAACAATGATTCATGCATTCAGCTTCCTAGATTTATTTTGTTTATATTGGATTTTTTAATCTCTAAAGGGACGTAATTCAGTCTATGGGCAAGTGGCATTTAAAGCCCTTAACAAAATGGCTTTAATTTAACAAGCTAGGCCTTAGCCAAAGATGGTATGTGTGTGGAAGAGTTTATCCTTTACAAATGTAATTCCTCACTGCAGGTCATAGGAGTGAAGGTGCCCTTCATCACACCGTGCTGTGACATGTACAGCATTGGAAGGTAAGCCTTGAGAAGTCCGTGCTTTGCTGAGAGCCAAAAGAGTCTTGCTAAATCAAGACATGAGAATCCACACAAAGACTCCTCTACAGTTAGGTTAAGGTCTTTGCTGCAGGCTAAGGGCAAATTAGCCTCGTATGGGCTAAGGTACTTTGATTTCGTTGTAAGGTTCTCCTAAGTTCTGCTTATGTGAAAAGGGTTTTGGGTTGGTTTCTTCTTTCCAGTCATGCTATGAAGAGCTCTACCCTGTATCTGTGACCAAAGTCAGCCCGATTTTGATCTTATAACTGGCAAGGTCCCAACTAAGAGTGGGAGCTCAAGCCCCTAGGAAGGGGATATGGAAAATCAGTGAGTGATCTCCCATTTCAGTGTCTCTGCCAGAGCGAAGATTGGGCCAGCCTGTGAATTGCAAGTCTCCATGACACACCTAAAACAGGGGGATGGGAGAGCCCCATGCACAGAGCAACTGGCTTTGTAGCTTGTGTGTGAGGCTGACCCTGTACAATCAAATGTCTATTTTAGAAGGAATGATCAAGTCTGGATGGTATTAAAAACTTACTGTATTTTGCCTTGTTTGCACAAATCATGGTTGTTGAGCAAAGCTTCCAGCAATAAAGGAGTTAGAGTTAGTCTATGCTTCTGGCAAACAGTCTCAATCTGGAAACAAGATAAGATTTCCCACTGAAATTTCGGGTATCATTATCTATGGCAAAGCAACTGAGAGGAGAAGATTTTATTATAAATCCAGTGCACATCACAGCCATCAGCTCCAGTATAAAAGATACATGGCAAAGTGTTTTCAAACAGTCTAGTAAAACAGCATATACACATATGCAGTTGTGACCAGGACTGAGCCATTTCTTCTTGTGAGCCTGATTTTGCAGTCATTTAACACGCTAAACACCATGTGCAAATTCTGCAAGCAGAATCAAGTGACTGTGCAAAAAAATTACCAGCAGATCTTATTAAGAATTAGGTCTGGCTGAAAAATTTCCTTCAAAACCATTTCTTGGATGGAAAATGGGTTTTCAACTAAATGAAAGTTTTCACAGAAAGCATCCAATTTCCTTGAACATTTTTGTTTTGTCATTGGAAAGCTGAAAACCCCAAAGTTTGGGCAGATTTGGCAGTTTTCTGCCATACATTTTCAGGTTTTTGGGTGGGTTTTTTTGACAAAAGATGAAATTTTCTACAGAAATTTTTTTCCCATTTTCCAACCAGCTCTACAATAATTCTTAAACATAATTCATAAATCTTTTTTTTAAAAAACAACAACAGATGAGCTCAGAATTCTGTGCTGAATACCCCCAAACTGAACAACATTCATCACAGTTCATCTAATTCATCCCTTCCTTTTTTCAGGCCTGTGACACCATGGCCCACTGCTCATTACTGCCTCCTGAATGGTATGAAGCCTCAAGCATTCACTCTGCTTAGAAACTCATCTCAGATTCACCACTGAATTTCCAAGGAGCCAACCTGTAGGCATGAGGCACGTCATTTATCATTGAAGATGATGTACTGTTTTCTAAAGCCTTTCTATTATTTTAAACCCTGTGGGAGTCTCATAGGAATGCTCTAAACTTGACAAACGCCACAAAGTATAACAAATCCAGGATTTAGCTTTTAGCCTCTTCACCCATCCCGCTCTCCAGCTCTTCCCACTCCACAGACTTTCAATTTTTTACCTTAACGAAGACGTGGGATGACTGCTGTTGGGTTACTGCAGAGCAGTAACCAAAAGCAATATAAGCCCAGCAAATTCTGCAAAGTATCAAGGGTTCTCACCTCCCACTGACTTCAGTGGTTTTTGAGGGTCTCCCCACTTCTTAAAGTCTGGGTCTCTAGATATGTCTGCATTGCACTATCTGGGGCTGGCCCAGGTCAGCTGAGTCAAGTTTGTGGGGCTTGGGCTGTGGGGCTATAAAATTTCAGTGCAGACATTCAGGCTTGGGCTGTAGCCTGGTCTCTGAGATCCCACAAGGGGAGAGGGTCCCAGAGCCCGGGATCCAGACCAAGCCTGGATGTCTCCACTGCTGTTTTATAGCCCTCCAGCCCATGCCTTGTGACACAAGTCAGCTGACGTGGGCCAGCCACCAGTGATTAATTGCAGTGTAGACATATCCTTTTAGACCAATTCTGAAGGATTCACATTCTTTTCTTATTTTTAAGCATAAAAATATAGCTTTGAAATGCATTCTGCAATAGTAACAGGATCTATGCGTATAACTGACACAAATGGTCCATCTATGGCTTTAAGTGTGTTACACTGCTATTAAATGAGAGCGGTCTACCTGTGATTACATGACTAGACTGAACCCTGTTCTGGGGCCTATTTACCTCATAGAGAGAGAGAAGGCCGGAGAAAGACTTATCTTCTTTTTGAAAACTCAGGCTCAGTTTCTCCATGTCTAGTTCCCCCTTATATTCCTCCAATATTTGCTTCAAGATCTGTAATGTGTCTTCAGGAGCCAGAGAGCTGGAGGATCAAAATATAGAGATTACCATAAAAATAATACATAATACTTTCCAGTTCACCTGGCCCCACAAAGGATCCCAAAGTGTTCTACGAGTATACTGCCCTCCCAGGCCATATAGAACCCCTGAGGTGTTCTGGGGCAGCTGTTTAACTGATCACAGCAACAGAACAAAACAGGCTTGGGTAGGAAGCAAAGAAAAATAGAAAATCCAGCTAAAATGCCATGGTAAGGAAAACATAATTACCTTTTGGCTGGATTATCAGGTGTAACACTGTGATTCATGTGAAAAAAGCCTTAAGAATTTTTTAATGGTATACGCACCTCGGATTTTTTGTTTCACCTAAAAGATGGTACTTCTAAATGCCTCCTATCTCCATGATGGGGCATGGTTCAATACTGACTCAGAAAGAAGGAGAGCCATCTACTGAATCGCCAATAATGCTTCCTGGGGTTTCCTTGGAGGTTTCCCATTCAGTAATCAACCAGGCCCGCTGTTTTTAGGATCTGATCAAAGCATAGGTGAGCTCATGTGGCTGCCGGCTGTATATCATAAATACCTGCCTGATCTTTGCCTCAGACTTTTTCTGGTAGAGCATAGCTTAATACGTGTGTAAATAAAATGACATACTTGTGTATGGCTCCTAACTTTGTTACATTGTTGGTACTGCGTAATGCTGCCGTGCCACATAGTGACTGGAATGTACAGTAGAAGGGGTGGCTCAGTGGACTGATAATAGAGTAAAAGATAATCAGTAACTGAGTTTCTTGATTGTCTGTCAGTTGCAAAAAAAAAAAAAAAAAAAAAAGGTAAAAAAATGAAATTTTCAGAAAAGTGAAAAGTAAAAAAAAAATGTTTGGGTTGAATGAAACATTTTGTTTGTCCCAAAAGGTAATGTTTTGTTTTGATTTTGAGCTTTTTAGAAAAATAAATAAATAAATAAAATTGAAGGAAATTCAAACCAGAAAGTCATTTTGAATCAAAAATCAAAACAATTCATTAAAAAATGAACAAACGGGTCCTTTTCATTTTTTCATAATTTTTGTTTATTCAATTAAAATAAATTGGTGAGTTTGACACAAATTCACAAAAGGTTTTGATCAATCTGTATCTGCATTTTTTGCTGAAAAAGAGTTTTGGTAAAAACTTCTCCCAGCTCTACAAAAGATTTCACCACTAGGCCTCAGGTTCTAAAATCCAGCCTTGGCTAGCGGAGACAGAAGTCTGTTGCCCTCTGTTGGCTGCTCAGTGGACTATAAGAAATGAGATGGTGGTCTCAAATCCAATTTCTAGTGTGCTGATGTTCACATCACATAAGGTCATAGTCACTATCAGCATCCTTGTTGTCAATTTCAGCAGTGTGATCGTTTGCTCTGACAGTGGGAGCCTTTCTCATCCAGATGAGTTACGTTGATGGGGGAGTATGTACTGTACTTACTCTGTGCATAGACTACTTCAGTCTCCAGTGATTTCAAAACAGCATTTCTCTCATATTATATATATATACACACCTTTACCCCGATATAACGCTGTCCTTGGGAGCCAAAAAATTTTCCCGCATTATAGGTGAAACCACGTTATATCGAACTTGCTTTGATCCACCGGAGTGCACAGCCCCACCCTCCCGGAGCACTGCTTTACCGCGTTATATCCGAATTCGTGTTATATCGGGTCGCGTTATATCAGGGTAGAGGTGTATATATATATATATATACATACATACACACACACAATTACACACACAAGGATAAAAAGGCAATTATTAAAATTGTCTCTAATTGAAACTGTTTCCCTTGCCAAAGTTAAGTAAAGGGGAGTCTGCATGTTCTCAAATGATGCTTCTAGCAGTATGTAGTGTAGGTGATCAGCAACCCAAAACACGTAGTGGCTTGAATGGTTGCAAGAGAAAATCTGTGCTCTTCTGCGCTATGTAAAATGCTTTTTAATCTCATAATTGAAGAACCAGTTTTGCTTTCAGAATCCTCAGTGAAATTAGCAGGCTTGAAAACGTTCTGAAAATTCAACACCTACAAGACTTTTACCAAATGAAAACCAGGAAAAGGAGGATTTCTCAGATACTTTTCTCATTTGTTTAGAGTAATACATACATTTAAAAAAAAACAGAAATAGAACCTTTTGTTTTGATCCTTTAAAGTTACACTCTTTGCTTGAAGACCCAGATCACATGTCTTGATATTCTGCATTTCAACTGCTGCAGCTAGTCTTAGAAACTGAATCAGATTTTCAGAATTTACCTAAAAAAACAGATAGGTACAAACACAAGCAAAGGGCATAGGAAAATGTCAGTCTGTTACAACCTCTCCCTTAAATTGCATCTTCCTGAGAAAATTAAAGTGAAAATAAAGTGCTTTAGGGGGGGAAATCACATTTAATTTTACTTACAAAGTTAAAAGGTGTCTCACACATGAAAAATATTGGATTTGTGCCTTTTTATGTTTGTATATGATGTATAATGAATCCCCTGAAATGAATAGTTAAGACTAATGAAGTCCATTGAAATCAATGGGAGTCTTTTCTCTGACTTCACTGGACTTTGCACCAGGCCCTTATAGGCCAGTGGAGGGCAAGAGGAGAAGAGGTAGACAGGTCCCTAGGATTAGTGGATTAGCAGCCGAGCGTTTAGGGGGATAAGAAAGAGTTTGGCAGCAGGAGGTCTTGTGTGTGTATGGGGAGATCAGGCAGGAAGAGCTGGGTGAGGGTGTGCGTCGGAGGACTGATTTATAGGGCTACGTCAGTATCACAGAAATGACTCCATGAGACAAGGGCTCCCCTGTGCCTCATTCAGCATACCCCTAACAAGACGCAATACCCACCGCACCGCTAAGCTGACTGAGCACTCGCGCAGCACAGCTTGCCTTCCTGCTAATTGTTATTTAGAAAGTGCTAATGTTAAAACTGAGGAGCAAATCCTACCCCTGCGTTCCCTGCACAAGAGAAGGCATCATTCGGGGGGACCGGGAAAGGGGTGCAAAGTAGGTTGTAAATGTAAACGTAAATGTACTGGTATGAGAAAGAGTGGAATATGCGGACAGTGGTCATAGGTGCTGGAACTAGGAGTGCTGGGGGTGCTGCCACCCCCTGGCCTGAAGTAGTAATAACAACCCAAATACATGGTTTCCGCCTTCAGCACACCTACTAACAAAATTGGTCCAGCACCACTGAATGTAGTAGCATGATACTTAGCACATAAGGCGCAAGGCGGTGGAACATCAGGACCATTCCCTAAAATAATACACATCTCTACTACCTGAGCTGAAGAAGAATCTCCATTAGCGGTTGTGTTGGAGCCAATGGGTGGGATTTGCAAAAATATCAATGTTGGACTAACTCGATTCCCTTTCAAGTCAAGAGTAAAACTTCCAGAATTAGGATGACGCTGAATGATTCTGAAAATCCCATCTGATTACATCTGTAGTTCAATCACTATGGGCAGTGATACATAAGCAAAATTGCCAGTATATTGCAACTTCCTTTCTGCTGTTAGTTACTGTAATCAATTACAGTAGCAACACTGGAGGCATGTTAGAAGACACCTCGGCCACATTTGCTGATTAATCCCCAAATAGCAAATAAAGCCTAACTAACATATGAGCATCTCTAAGCTAAGGAAGTTACTGCTTATTAACCTCTCTCTTCTATTTACTTGACTTGCACGGATAAGTAAAAAAGAAAAAAAAGGGGAAAAGACTAATTGATTTTTTCCCCAGTTAAGACATTCAGATGAACATACCAATTCAGAGTCATTTGCCTCAGAAAACCTCTCAAAGAGGCGCTTGACAGTTGGTAATTGTAGAGGGACTTCATGCTTCAGAAGGAGGGAGCTCAGCTGGGACTGAGGAAGAAATCCAGAGATGGGATCCAGAGTCTTAAGCTCTCTCTGCAGCTTTTCGAACCCGGCTAACCTAACAGGACCCAGCCTGAGTTCATTTCTGACGAGAGCCAGGAGAGAATCCTCTTCCTCAGGTGACTCTGATGGCCCTCGGCATATGATCTGCTGGAAATCATTTAGAAAAGAAACATCTGGTTATATAATATACAGTAACTCGAATGAAGAATGGTAAAGCAGATGGTTGAATGGAGATTGCTTTACAACATCGTTACAATGGCTGTGCTGAGCAAAACAGCAGTCCACTCAGCCCCCTGGCTGCATGCTAAAGCTGCGCAACAGAAGAAAAGCTGCCCTACATGGACAGCTGAGGATTCCATTTGTCACAGAGGAATCCTGGGATTGCACAAAGCTGGCAAAGCTGCTTTGGTATAGGGGACATGCTAGGGTCAAACGTTGGAGGATGGGAGCTTGTGATGGTTTCCAGATTCTCAGCTGCTGGTGATGTAATTTAGAGCAGCCCTGCAGCTGCTCTCAGTTACACCAAAGGCTGTTTTGTCTGGCTCAGGATCAGGGAGATAAAAAGGTGGCTTAGCGTCCCCCTCCCCCTGGCTCCTTTCCCCTTCACCTGTTCAGACTGTAAACTTGGTCTAGCTGAGGACTGAGCCCATCATTAGCAAGCCAACACTTGAACCAAATTGTCATTGAAAATATTTAATAGATGACCAGTTATGGCAATATTTCATAGAATCATAGAATATCAGGGTTGGAAGGGACCTCAGGAGGTCATCTAGTCCAACCCCCTGCTCAAAGCAGGACCAATTCCCAACTAAATCATCCCAGCCAGGGCTTTGTCAAGCCGGGCCTTAAAAACCTCCAAGGAAGGAGATTCCACCACCTCCCTAGGTAACGCATTCCAGTGTTTCACCACCCTCCTCGTGAAATAGTGTTTCCTAATATCCAACCTAGACCTCCCCCACTGCAATTTGAGACCATTGCTCCTTGTTCTGTCATCTGCCACCACTGAGAACAGCCGAGCTCCATCCTCTTTGGAACCCCCCCTTCAGGTAGTTGAAAGCAGCTATCAAATCCCGCCTCCTTCTTCTTTTCTGGAGACTAAACAATCCCAGTTCCCTCAGCCTCTCCTCATAAGTCATGTGCTCCAGACCTCTAATCATTTTTGTTGCCCTCCGCTGGACTCTTTCCAATTTTTCCACATCCTTCTTGTAGTGTGGGGCCCAAAACTGGACACAGTACTCCAGATGAAGCCTCACCAATGTCGAATAAAGGGGAACGATCACGTTCCTCGATCTGCTGGCAATGCCCCTACTTATACAGCCCAAAATGCCGTTAGCCTTCTTGGCAACAAAAGCACACTGTTGACTCATATCGAGCTTCTCGTCCACTGTGACCCTAAGGTCCTTTTCTGCAGAACTGCTACCTAGCCATTCGGTCCCTAGTCTGTAGCAGTGCATAGGATTCTTCCGTCCTAAGTGCAGGACTCTGCACTTATCCTTGTTGAACCTCATCAGGTTTTTTTTGGCCCAATCCTCTAATTTGTCTAGGTCCCTCTGTATCCGATCCCTACCCTCCAGTGTATCTACCACGCCTCCCAGTTTAGTGTCATCTGCAAACTTGCTGAGAGTGCAGTCCACACCATCCTCCAGATCATTAATAAAGATATTAAACAAAACTGGCCCCAGGACCGACCTTTGGGGCACTCCACTTGAAACCGGCTGCCAACTAGACTTGGAACCATTGATCACTACCCGTTGAGCCCAACAATCTAGCCAGCTTTCTATCCACCTTACAGTCCATTCATCCAGCCCATACTACTTTAACTTGGCGGCAATTTCACAACATTTACCTGGTGATGTCCTACATGTTGTCTTAAAGACCGAGCTCTAAGGGATGGCTTTTGGAGGGCATGAATGTAGGACAAAGACTGATCTCCCGATGGGACAGACACACAATGAATATTTGGTGGTTTTAAAACCTTGAAGAACAAACGTGGAATTAGACATAAGGCAATCAAAGAAAAATAAATAGTTGTGTTCTAACCAAAATATACTCTGAGTACAAATATTGACATACACAACTATTTCGTCATATAAAATATATGCTGGTGATTCCTTTTTAGAAAGCAAACATGTTTAAACTCCAACAATAATACATCCTGAAGACATATTTAACTGGAACAGCTATTAAATTAGTTCTCATTTTATTAGTATAATTAGCTCCTCCAGCTCTGAAAACATTCCCCTACCACTTAAGATGAAGGAAACTCTCCATCAGCTGCTGGCATTATAGTGTCTATGACTCATAGATGTGCCGTTCTAATTCCACCTAGTAGAAGGCAGTGGTGCTCCCAAACACTAGCCATTTTGTTACAATCATGGAATGCATTCAACTTTCCAGTAGCAGGGTTAGAAAGTCTCATTGTTTAGTATTTCATACTGAGCATTAGAAATGCTCTCCTGCATTAGAGATTAGGGTTAACAGTCCTCATTATTTTCAGCAAGAGATTAATTAAAGCCCAACATTTCTAAAAGCAACCTGGCATAAATGAATCAGTTCATTGCACAAATATCTGAATTGGTAACATCTTTCCTTTATTCCTCTACTGAAGTCTAAACCTACCCTGATGTGGAAAGAAATGAATGCCAGGAGCTGCCTTTTGCAATAGGTTTAAAACATAAACAAATGATTAGCTACCTTCAGTTCTGATAGTCCCCAAATATTACCCTTCCTTATAACTACTGCACATACGACCATCCTCCCCACGCACTGCATTCCTAATCTCCTACCACCTGAAATGGTTTGCTTTGCATTAAAAATACAGTAGGTCCCAAATACGGAAACGATGACCCAAATATCAGCCTTTCAAAACAAGGGCTGAAGTGGTTTATTTATGAAATTCCTAGGGATGGAGGGGAAGGTGCACAAAGACCGCAGAGTTGGACATGGAACAATGTAGAGCATTGTTAGGTATTTAGCAAAGAACACTAAACCAAAGGAGAGAGGAAGAGAAGGAAGAAATACATTTCCTGACTGGGAAGTTATTGAACATACTGAACAGGAAACAGATACATTCTCTCCCTGGGGTGGGGAGAAATCTCTGTAGCTTCTCCTGTGGAAATTTGTCTCTGGTCTTAAAACCAAAGGGCAGGACTGTGACCCTGTGCAGTGGAATAAAGGCAAATAAGATCCCTTCCACCCATATGGCCACATGAGCGCGCCCTTCATTTTTGCTCTTGGCGCAGGGGATAGAACATGGGGGATAGAACACAGACTGTGAGTCTGGTACTTCTCCAAGCAAGAGGCAGAGAGAGGGTCAAAGGGGCAGGGACTAGGCAGAGTTAACATGCTGAGCTGGCACAAATGGGGAAGTCAGCTGTACCTAGTAAAGGGCTCCAGTGAGTTATTTCCCCCGAGCAAGGGAGCAGCACTCAAAAAGGCACAATTCCACCCCAGGACAATGCCGTTATGCACTGTCCCATGCATGAGGCAGAGTCTAAATTTTTAAAGTCATACGCCCCCTAAGCACAACCTCTAGGACTGACTCAGTTTGACTCAGGGGTGTACAGCACCTCTCAAAGTCAGGCCGGGCATTCCAAGCCGTGCACCCACAAAGGGAGATGCCCAAAATTACTGAACACTTCTAAAAATCTAGGGTCCAGATACAGCTGGGCAAAGAAAAATGGATTTTTTGGTTCACTAGCTATTCTGAAGAAAGAAAGAAAATAAATATTTCTTTTGACCCAAAACAAAATGTTCCATTTCAATTTCAAGCATTTTTAATGTTTCTGAATTTTTTAAAAAATAAAATGGAAGAAAATTTCAAAAAGAAAAGAAAAATAATTTAGAACTGAAAAATTGAAGAGGTTTGATTTTTTCTAATGTTGGGGGGCGTGGGTAGGGGTTCCAACACAAACAATATGGGAAAATCAACATAAACTGGCAAAACATTACAGTTAGACTACCTCTAATTTTTTGCCTGAAAAAAGTTTTGTCCAGAAAATAGGGCTGTCAAGCAATTAAAAAAATTAATCGTGATTAATCGCACTGTTAAACAATAACAGAATACCATTTATTTAAATATTTTGGATGTTTTCTACATTTTCAAATATATTGATTTCAATTACAACAGCGAATACAAAGTGTACAGTGCTCGCTTTATATTTATTTTTTATTACAAATATTTGTGCTGTAAAAAACAAAAGAAATAGTATTTTTCAATTCACCTCATACAAGTACTGCAGTGCAATCTCTTTATCATGAAAGTTGAACTTACAAATGTTGAATTATGTACAAAAAATAACTGCATTCAAAAATTAAACAATGTAAAACTTTAGAGCCTACAAGTCCACTCAGTCCTACTTCTTTTTCTGCCAGTCCCTCGGACAAACAAATTTGTTTACTTTTGCAGGAGATAATGCTGCCCGCTTCTTGTTTACAATGTCACCTGAAAGTGAGAACAGGCGTTCTCATGGCACTGCTGTAGCCGGTGTCGCAAGATAATTACATGCCAGATGAGATAATGATTCGTATGTCCCTTCATCTTCAACCACTATTCCAGAGGACATGCATCCATGCTAATTACGGGTTCTGCTGGATAATGATCCAAAGCAGTGAAGATCGACGCATGTTCACCTTCATCATCAAAGTCAGATGCCACCAGCAGTTGATTTTCTGTTTCGGTGGTTCGGGTTCTGTAGTTTCCACATTGGAGTGTTGCTCTTTTAAGACTTCTGAAAGCATGTTCCACACCTCATCCCTCTCAGATTTTGGAAGGCTCTTCAGGTTCTTAAACCTTGGGTCGAATGCTGTAGCTATCTTTAGAAATCTCACATTGGTACCTTCTTTGTGTTTTTTCAAATCTGCAGTGAAAGTGTTCTTAAAATGAACAATATGTGCTGGGTCATCATCCAAGATGGCTATAATATGAAATAATGGAAGAATGCGGGTAAAACAGAGCAGGAGACATCCGATTATTTTTTTAACGAGCATCATCAGCATAGAAGCATGTCCTCTGGAATGGTGGCCGAAGCATGAAGGGACATATGAATGTTTAGCATATCTGGCACTTAAATACCTTGCAATGCCGGCTACGTAAGTGCCATGCAAATGGCTGTTCTCACTTTCGGGTGACATTGTATATAAGAAGCAGCCAGCATTCTCTCCTGTAAATGTAAATAAACTTGTTTGTCTTAGCAATTGGCTGAATAAGAAGTAGGACTGAGTGGACTTGTAGGCTCTAAAGTTTTACATTGTTTTGTTTTTGAGTGCAGTTATGTAACAAAAAAATCTACATTTTTAAGTTGCACTTTCACAATAAAGAGATTGCACTACAGTATTTGTATGAGGTGAATTGAAAAATACTAATTCTTTTGTTTATTATTTTTACAGTGCAAATATTTGTAATAAAATAATAATATAAAATGAGCACTGTACACTTTGTATTCTGTGTTGAAATTGAAATCAATATATTTGAAAATGTAGAAAAACATCCAAAATATTTAATAAATTTCAATTGTTTAACAGTGCGATTAAAACAGTGATTAATCGAGATTAATTTTTTAATTGTGATTTTTTTGAGTCAATCACGTGAGTTAACCGCGATTAATCGATAGCCCAATCAGAAAATTATGCCTAGCTCTTGTTCAAACTTTTGTGAGCCAGTTTATCCATCTGTAAGATGGGTATAATCCTCCTGATTTATCTCATGGGACACAGTGCAGCTGAATTAACATCAGCAATGCCATTTGAGATCCTAAAGGTACTAAGGACCTGAGTGCAAAATTCTTATTCAACTTGACTTCAGTAGGACTATTTGCATGGGTAAGTGCTCACAAACATAAGGATTGCATAACTATGTTCCTAGTGCACATATTTATATTGCTGCAAAGAGACCTGGTTATTTCAACATTAAGTATTATCCATGGATCGTCCCTGTAACTGATTGTGCAATTCAAAATGTTGCGGCTACAGTTTATAGCAACTCACTTTGCCATCCAGAAATCTGCTGTTGCTTGTTTGTGCTTGTTTAGACTTGTGTTCTTCCTGTTTGTCTCTGCTCC